CAGAATACCAATCACCGCCACACTTTTGTTTTCCATAGTTTTTTATCATGTTTTGGGGAGAAGATCAAAACTTCTTACATAGCTTTGTATTGGAACCCCAGTTATTATCTATGCATTTTATTCAGACCTTTGTTTGTGATTGATTGATTATGTTTGAGTAGTTCTTCTTGTTAGATTGAGGGTTTTGTGGTATTTGATGGATTAGCCCAAATATAGAATTGATAGAAAACTAATATCAATTGATTATGAGAGTTCTTAATGCATGTGATTTAGAGTAGCTAATAAAATCATGAACTTAGGACATAGACAATTACGATAGTAGGTTCTTTGTCTGATCATATTTCTAATTGAGCTAGGATTGTTAGATGCATGCAACGGCTGGTCGACCAACTAGTGCATTTCAATTCGTCAAAACCGTCGATCTATATTGGTGCTTCACCATTAATCGACAGTCATAATTATAGACGATTGCTTCCTCGTGTATTAGATTTATTTGCACCCTATCCATTATAATCCACGTGCATAAACCCTAGATCTAGTTATTTTCTTATTTACATTAACCTAAACCTAAACAATTTCCTTTTTACTTAAACCTAATTTCCTATATAAGTATTTCACCTAACTTAACCATTAAAATCTCAAAAATATTGTGTATCTTCGCTCTCTGTGGATTTGATCTCTAAGTACTTCATCCGATCTCTCTTGGCAATAGTAGTTTTTAAGTTGAGTTTCATTGGATAATTTGATAGAGTGAAATAGGAATTATAACATCCTGAAACGCAGCCTTGTCAAATTTGGCGCCGTTGCCGGGGAGCTTAGTTCGCCATTAGATTTATTTTCTAGGTTTAGTCTAGGTTTTTTTTTACAGTACTAATAATTCTTTTTTCTTGTTTAACAGGTGCATGACCAGCAGTACTAGAAGTAACAAGAATCAAGAGTTACTTTTCTCAGACGTAGTAGCAATCGAACGTTCAATCTGCAAAGAGAAGGGACTAGCATCAATCAACGCCCATGACCATTCATTGACCGTAGTTCTCTTAGTTCCTCCTCATTCGGCAGCCCAGACATACCATCGATCGACGGTGAACTGCGAGTCCCAATGGTTGCTCCAGTCGTTTTGATAAGGGATGAGAATCAGAATCTGCATGATCTTGAAGGTCACATGCGTAATGCAGCAGGTCAGAAGATAGATGATCAGGGGGATGTAATCCCTGAACCTAAAGTAAGAGCCGACGCTGCAATAGCTCAACCTGAAGCTAATGCCCAAGCTGCTCAGGCAAGGACACTGGCAGGCTAGAACCGCCTTGACCAGTACTACGCCAACAGATCCGCCATTCGCCCTCCAGCTTTTCAGAGGCATGATTTTGAAATCAAGCCTTCTTTCTTTGTACTTTGGCGCAGACACCTTACCGTGGGAAGCTGCATGAGCATCCTATGGATCATCTGGGAGGTTTGAGGATCTATTATCTGCTATTAAAGCCAATGAAGTCCATGAGGACTATCTGTTTTGCAAGCTCTTCAAGTACTCACTTGCTGGAGAAGCTTCATATTGGCTTAAGCAGTTACCACCACGATCTCTTACATCTTGAGTTGACATAAAGAATGCCTTCCTGCAAAATTTCTTTGACGATGCGTGAGCTGAGGATTTGAGGAGCAGAATTGCCACTTTCACACAGGAGCCTGCAGAGTCTTTCAAGGGCTCATGGACCAGATTCAAATCCTACCAGCGTGACTGTCTACACTATGGATTTAATGAAGTGCAGCTGCTAAGCACCTTCTTCAGTGGATCTGCAGTACCATATGGCCCTAGACACATCTAGTGATGGTAGTTTTGTCATCAGAAGTCCAGAAGAGGCTGCAAAGCTTATTGAGAATCTGGCATCCAGCAACAGCACCAAGAACACTGATTATAAGAGGAAGAAATCAGCTCCAGCACTCAGCAGGGAGTAGGTTGATGATGTTAGGACAAGGCTGGATGACGTTCACAAACTACTGAAGAAGTTAGTTTTGTGGAGAAAGCCAGAGATGCTTAAAGTGAAGAAGAAGATGTGAATTACATTGGTGGAAATGGTTTCCAAAGATCTGGGAATCAAGGCTACAGCAGAAACTCCTATGGCAATAGTCAGAAGGGTAACTACGAACAAGATTTACAGCAACATAGGCCCTACAACAACAATAGGGCCTACGGATCTTCTTACTACTAGAAACAACCTCCAGAGACTCAAGAGAGCAAGCTAGAAGCAATGGTTGACAGAGTACTCAAGGGACATCAGCATATGACTGTAAATTTCAATGGAAAGATAAATGCTATGTATCTCAACCTAAACACCAAATTTGAAACCTCAACACCAATGTGAAGAAGTTTGAGAATCAGGTAGTCTAGACAAGTGAGGCCATTAGGAAGCATGATGCCATTATTAAGGGGAAAGAAGAAGCTGGACAGAAGCACCATGTCAATGCATTGACTGATGATGATTTTTGGGTTGAAGTGAAGAGAGAAATACTTCAAGAAGGAATTTCCGTGTAGAAAGTGCTATGTCTTTTGGCGATTCGCACTGGTATCGATCGACATCTAGTGCTGAGCTTCGATCGATAGGACCTCCAGAATAACTGAATTCGTGTGAATCTTCCAACATCGATCGACACCAGTATCAAGGCATCGATTGACGGAACCCTACAGCCGGACCTATTCGCTTGCCGAGTAGTGATGCAAGCTTGTTTGTCAGACATCCGACTACAGAGCAGACTTCAGACACTTCAGAACCCATGATGGTTGACAAGAAAACAGGAATATATTCCAGAAGGAAGCAAAAGATTCCCAAATATCTTCGCAGAGAAGCAAATGAAAAAGATCTAGATGGCTTTGGCAAAAGAGTTTTCAAAACTTCCTTTAGATACTCTTTTTGATGAAGCTTATTATAATCATAGATCGTTTATGTTTTTCAGAGAATCTAAGGAGACAAATGAGGACACTAAGAGAAGCTCACGTAGTGGATCAATCTCAAGAAGAAAAGTGATCCTAGAAAGTTTGCAATTTCATGTTTCATAAAGAGGCATGAATATCCAAATGTCCTTTGTGATACTGGATCATCAGTAAGCATCATGCCTAGAGCCATGGAAGAGAAGCTGAACCTGAATGTAAAGCCTTTCTAGTCATTTTTTCACCTTTGTGGATTGCTCCAAGGTGAATTCAGAAGGTATGGTGAGAGATGTTTCACTGCAGATTAAGAATGCCTTAGTTTCAGTAAACTTCCATGTGATGGATATCAACATAGATTGGAACTCTTCCCATCTACTTGGAAGAGATTTTATGGCCACAGTGGGAGCTATCGGCGACATGACAAAAAACAGGTTGTATCTCTCTTTGGTTGATCACAATAACATTATGAACATATTAAGAATAGATCTACCCTCATTGAATTGGGTAATGATGTAGGTCTTATAGCTACATGATTCTGTGATTATGAGCAAAACGAGGAGTCAGACGATAGAGCATCGATCAACACCCAACCCATACTATCGATCGACAATACCGCAGTTCAGCAATCGATCGATACCCACCCTTCAGAATTGATTGACACTCAACATCCAGATTCAGATCAACCTCATTCTTACGATGAGTACGATGAGTATTACCGTGAGGAGGAAAAAATCGAGTATCGAGGTCTTGCTATATAGCACAATGATGTTTTTCTAGTTTCATACAAAACTGAGAACACGGCATCGAGCGACGCAACACAAACAGCATCGATCGACGCCAAGTTAGAGCCAGGGCACCGCCCAGTTTTTTCCAGACGATATCTATCTTGATGATCATGACTACTGCTGTTACACGCCAGAAGTACCGGAATATTTCAGAAGATCAGAGGAAACATGGTACAGACCGGCGATCGATGGCCATCTTAAACCATCGATCAACACTGAGAAGACAGAAGAGCCAACATCAGATTTAAAGGCAACAGTTCTTAGTTATCTACAACCAGATGAGTTTGGCATCCCGAGAGACATAAACGGATACGCAAGAGCTATGGACGGAGGAGTTTACATGTCTCTAAAGAAGATGTTGAAGATATTCTTGCAAAAATGGAGCACATAATCTCTTCAGAAAGCCATTCAACTTCCAGGCAGACATGAAAATATTGATCGACGGCAACAACCATACATCGATCAATGTTACCCATCCAAACAAGAGAGCTGAACACAATGATCCAGCATCAATCGACATGCTTCTACCAGCACCGATTGAGGGCAACAACGAGTTTGGATACCGAGATTTTGATGAGAATGGACGAAGACTATTCCATTGGGAAAGAAAAGATGAATATGATATCTACAGAGATGAGAATAACAACGCCAGAGATAGCGATGGCAAGATTGTCAATTTATCAAAAGAGGACATTAAAGCAGTTCTGGACAGAACTACAATGTATGAGTACAACTTTATCTACTTACCAGAGCATGCCAGTAGATTCACCAGAGCAGTGCCACCACCAGACACATACAGCAGAGCAGACATTGATGAGATGATGACTGCAGTTTACAGATCCCAGGAGATGTTTTTGGATGATTATTTCAAAAGGCTCTATGATGTTTACTATCCAATAGACAGGAGTATTATTTCTTTAACCACACGTTTGAATAAGATGCAGAATGCAATTGACACCATTCAGCGACAACAAGCGAGACGCACAGTTATATTGAAGTGATAAGGAAATAGAACAAAAATATAATAGCTGAAATTTAAGAAGAAATTAAAAATATTTAACCTGGTTTATTATTTAAAATTGTCTCTTTTTATTTGAGCAACTTATTATGTAAAATTGTCAAAATGCATTTTTGTGTAAGATGGGATCATAATGAGGCCATTTTAAAACATCTTTCGCATAATTCCAAATGGCTCCCTTCTCTTTCTCCTTCTTCTTCTTCTTTCACTTCCCCCACTTCAGAATCAATGGCGGTTTGATCATAAACCAAACAGCGGCAAGGTTAAATCCTCTACAATGGAACCAGCTGCTGCTCTTATACATTCTTCCTCTCTCACTATATTCCCTTCCCCTCTCAAAGCCACACTCCGTCTCCCTCGTCTGAACTCCTTCTTACTTCAACCCTATGGCTCTCTTCGTCTTCCACGACGCTCACTTCATCTGCTGACGAAATCAGCCTGCGAAAACCACATTCACCATCACCACCACCGACATTGCTGTTCCGTGGGACTAACGGTATCGAACTATCCTCAGAAATTGCTGATCAAGTTCGCTAAAGCTATTGGATGGATAAGATTGGCCAACTTCCTCAGAAACCATCTCAACCTTTGCTGCTCCTCCGCCGTACTCTTCATCGCCGCCGCCGCTTGCCCTTACTTGTTTCCTAGGCCTTACATTAAACCTCTTCAGAACTCCTTCATGATCGTTGCTTTCCCTTTTGTTGGAGTAAGGATCTCTCGCTTGCTTCCTTCTTCTCTATACTCGCTAAGTACTTATAGAATGAATTGGTTTCTCTGTGGTGTTAGACCTCAGCATCCTTAGACGCACTTATGGATGTAGCTGGAGGAAAAGTGAACATCCATGTTCTAATGGCGTTAGCGGCTTTTGCATCTGTGTTTATGGGAAACGCGTTAGAAGGAGGATTGCTTCTTTCCATGTTCAATCTTGCTCATATTGGTGAGATTTTAACCCAACCGAACTCGCGAAACCAAACCGAAATTTCGGTTCTCGATTCTTGGTTCAGGTTCGGTAATGAGTCTGGTTCAGGTTCGGTAATGAGTCTGGTTCAGGTTCGGTAATGAGTCTGGTTCAGTTCAGTAGTTTTCAAAAAAGTCTGGTCGGTTTGGCAGTTGATTAGTTTGTTTATAAAAAATTATAACCAAATCATATCGATCCTAACTATACATCCAGACCAAACTAACCAAAAGTTTTGAATCGAAATAACCGAAAACCCAAAATTGCATGACATTGGTTTTCTGCAGCTGAGGAGTTCTTCACTAGCCGTTCGATGGTGGATGTTAAAGAGTTGAAGGAGAGTAATCCAGAGACTGCACTGGTGATTGATGTGGATAATGGAAATGTACCAAACTTCTTTGATTTGTCGTGTAAAAGCGTCCATGTGCACAATGTAAAAGTTGGATCCTATATTTTGGTAGGAACTGGTGAGGTTTGTGAAATCTATCCCTTTTGATTTCTTGAAGTTCTTAAACCCTTAAAATTCATGTTAGCGGTTTTAAATATTTATACGTTGTTACTTGTATATATAGATTGTGCCTGTGGATTGCCAAGTCTATCAAGGTAATGCAACCATAACAATTGAGCATCTGACTGGTGAAGTGAAGCCATTGGAAGCAAAAGCGGGAGATGGAGTGCCTGGTGGGGCAAGGAATTTAGATGGTAGAATAATTGTGAAGGTATATATATAATTTGACCATACAGAGTACTCTAGCTTATGTTCTCTAGCTTATCTTTCTTCGATGGACTATAGGCTACAAAGGCATGGAATGAGTCGACACTTAACAAGATTCTGCAGTTGACTGAGGAAGCAAACTCTAATAAACCCAAAATTCAGAGATGGCTGGATGAGTTTGGTGAGGTTTACAGCAAGGTGGTGGTTGTTTTATCAGTATCCATTGCCTTCCTTGGTCCAGTTTTGTTCAAATGGCCCTTTCTCAGCACCGCAGGTATGTGTACCAGTCCTTTCCTTCTTTTTTTAGTGAGGTTTCGAGTATTGACTTGCTTTAAAGTCTCTAATAAGGTTGATGTTTGATTATGTACACAGCATGTAGAGGATCTGTTTACAGAGCATTAGGATTTATGATGGCAGCATCACCCTGTGCCTTGACAGTTGCTCCACTGGCTTATGCTACTGCTATCAGCTCCTGTGCCAGAAAGGTATCTTACGAGGATTATATGTAGTCCCAGCTAAGTAAACTAGACTTAGCAAGTTCTTTTCTAGATCTTTTACTTTCTTGTTACTTGTGACTATATTTCAATCAGGAGCATTGCAGCAATAATATACTTAAGTTTTGGACATAAACCCTTTTCAAATCTAACATATTCTACCATAAGATTCCCTAACAAAAACCTTAGATTAACCCTTGAAGCTTTGCGCTAAAACTGAAATTTGTCATTCATATATGCTTCATCTGTGTTTGCTGCATAAATGTATCTTCATGTTAAGCTGTGCTCTTTTCAGGGGATATTGCTGAAAGGTGGACAAGTATTGGATGCTCTAGCTTCTTGTCATACTATCGGTTTTGACAAAACCGGGACCTTAACAACCGGTGGCCTTACATGCAAAGCAATTGAACCCATTTATGGGCATGAAGCCGGAAAAAATGCAAGTGTAACTCCATGTTGTATGCCAAATTGTGAAAGAGAAGCATTAGCCGTTGTAGCTGCTATGGAGAAAGGTACAACGCATCCTATTGGAAGGTACCACTTGTTAAAACATCCTATTATTTCACATTAGATCATTATACTAGTCTTTGAGACTTTAACTATGCGTCCATTACAACAATAACTCTAACAATGTTGTTATCATTGGCTAACTTATTACATAATTCACTAGTTACATAATCAAACCCATATTTTTTTTGCAGAGCCATGGTCGACCACAGTGTTGGGAAGGACCTCCCTTCTGTGTCTGTTGAAAGCTTTGAGTATTTTCCTGGTAGAGGCCTTACTGTTACAGTTAACTATGTTGAGGTGCAAGCAAACTCTTTACTAGATTATGTCACCTTCATGTAATATCTGTGACTGTAACCAGTCTCTCACTACAACTTTTACTTTTTTGTTATGTAGTCCGTAACTGAAGACAGTAAACTGCAGAAAGCGTCACTTGGCTCCGTAGAATTTATCACATCACTCTTCAAATCGCAGGACGAGTCTAGGAAGATTAAGGATGCTGTAAACTCCTCTTTGTACGGAAATGACTTTGTTCATGCCGTTCTTTCGCTTGATCAAAAGGTCTACTTTACTAGCTACACCATAACAATTTCTTTTTTTTTTTAACTGTAGCAATTTCTTGATTGAAAGTTAGGGTGTTAAACATTGATCCGACTCATTTTACTAGGTAACATTGATTCACCTCGAGGATCAGCCTCGTCCAGAGGTACCAGAAGTTATAGCAGAACTTAAAAGCTGGGGTAGACTCAGGATAATGATGTTAACCGGAGACCATGAGTCAAGTGCTATGCGAGTTGCAAATGCTGTAGGTATTGATGAAGTGTATTGTAACCTAAAACCAGAAGACAAACTTAACCATGTCAAAACCATCTCAAGAGATTCAGGTGATGATCTAAAAATAGATAAATGCTAGAAGTAGACCTGCAGAGATTATCTGAACCAAAATTTTCGGTTTTCAATTCAGGTTTGGTTAAGAGTTGGGTAGAATTCAGTAGATTCTTTGACGGTTATCCGTTCAATTCAGTAAATTTTTAAAATCCGAACTAACCAATTATCAAACCTAGTTTTATTTGGTTCGATTTGGAAGATTTTGTGCAAACTGAACCAACAAAAAAACAAACAAATTATCTGAACCGAACCCAACTGAACCAAACTCGTAGGCCTGGGTGGGACCATATAAGAGACTAAAAACTGAATTCAAGTGATTTGAGTTTTTGTTTAGGTGGAGGATTAATCATGGTGGGTGAAGGAATTAACGATGGTCCGGCTTTAGCAGCTGCAACTGTAGGGTTTGTTCTTGCTCAACGTGCAAGTGGGACGGCAATAGCTGTTGCTGATGTTTTACTGCTTCGAGACAACATCACTGGTGTTCCCTTCTGTATTGCCAAATCCCGCCAAACAACATCATTGGTAATAACAAAAGCCTTAATAACACCAAAACTAGAGATGCAAAATTGTCAGATTACATTGATGATTCATATTATCTCGTTTTGCAGGTTAAGCAAAACGTGGCTATTGCGCTAGCCTCGATACTCTTGGCTGCTCTTCCATCAGCTCTCGGATATCTTCCTTTGTGGTTAACGGTAACAATCATGCTGCTTCTCTAAAGCTTTTATAGAACTGTTTCTCTAAGTTTTCGTCTATTGACTCATAATGCGTTATTATCACAGGTGCTGTTACATGAAGGCGGAACACTTCTTGTGTGCCTTAACTCGATACGCGGTTTAAACGATCCATCATGGTCATGGAGACAAGACATAGCTCAACTGATCAGCAACTTGAACTAAGGACACTTTTGTAATAATTAAAACTCAATTATTCAAGTTATAGAAATCTGAAATGAATCTCAAAACCTAATAAAATCTCTAAATCCTACACTACGACCATTATCTCCTTGCATACACGAACTTCCTCCTCCTCCGCCGCTTCCTAACTGTAAATCCGCCATGTAACTCCTCACCTCCGTCTTAATCATCTCTTGCAACACCGTCATGAAATCCCCACTACACCCCGGAATACCCTTTACCCTCTCCTCCTCATGTTTCCTCACCGGAAACAGCTCCGCCGTGTCTCTCCCTTGAGTTGACTCGTTGACACAAGGCAGAGACAAACTCAGAGAAGTCGCCGGATCTTTCACCGTCGATTCCATCACCACACCACCAGCTCTCGCCGTTGGCTTAAAAACATGAGACGGAGACGGCAAAACAGGTCCAATGGATTGCTCGCTGACGTCAGATCCCGACGGACTTCCGGGACTCATAAACAACCCCGTCGACACAACTCCTCCACCGCCGCTCGCCGTCCGTTTCAACGGCTGCTCATCCGTTAAATTACCATCATACCCTCCGTCGTCTGACGTCCAACCACCACCGCCGCCGCCGCCGCCGCATTTCCGCTTCAGCGTCGAGTTCCAATGATTCTTGATGGCGTTATCGGTGCGACCATTGAGAAGCCGAGCGATCGTGGCCCACCTGTTACCGAACCGCGCGTGGGCGCGTAAGATCGTCTCGTCTTCCTCCGGCGAGAAGGCACGGTGTTCAACCTCCGGAGAGAGCTGATTGCACCACCGGAGACGGCAAGATTTACCGGAGCGTCCGGGGATGGATTTGCTTATGAGAGACCAGTTTCTTGGTCCGTGCTTTTGCACTAGCGTCTGCAATAGCTCGTCTTCTTCGGGACTCCATGGACCTTTTATCCGGTCTGTTTCTTTCCGGGTCGAACCAGACATCTTCGGATCTTTTCTTTTGTTTGAACTTATCGGAACCTTTTAAACGCGTTTCTTTGAGAGGATGATGATGAGTGAGAGACGAGGGATATTTATACGGGATGTGATGGTTACACGAGTCATTGGTACTACCGGTAAGTTTTTCTCGTTATATAATGGCAGTTATTTTTCAGTCATATTTAACTGAATTACGCTAATATAGGAGTGTTATAAATTATCTAAAACAGAAAAAAATACACTATAAATTACTAGTTTTTTTTATAAAAATACAATCTTTTCGTGTTTACGAATTACGTTTTGAAAAAACTATAATTTAAATTGAATTACAGCTCAATAGTTTTAGTTTAAAGTTAGAACTGAAATTTAAAAGTAGTTTGATGAGTAACAAAATGTATATTATTTTCTTAAGGTTGGTATGATATACTTATATATAATAATAGTGGTAATTAATAAATGGATTTGTCACCTATATAATAGTTTACAACATTTAAAATGGTAATCTTTCACATGAATATTTTAGTAAAATAAAAAGATATATAATAACATTTTATTACATATATATTTTTAAAAACTATAAACTCACTTGAATATCTAAACTAAAATTGTTGTTCAAACAAAATATCTAAAATAAAATAAATTAAACTTATTTTAATGTACAAGATTTATTTTGTTTGAATTTATCAAAAAATATAAGATGGGACAATTTTTTAAGAATCATTCCATATTTTTTAAGAAGTTAGCAAATACTTTAGAACCTCTATAAATTAATATTCGATAAATTAATAAGTTTCATAAATTAATAAATTTTTCTGGTTGTAATTTGAGCCAGTTCAAAATTTGACATAAATCGATAAAATAATTATACCGTAATTTTTAGAAAATTCTATAAAAAGATATAGTCCAATTAAAATTATACATAATAATTTGAACATGCACATATTTTATATAATTAAAAACATAGATTTGTTATTGTTTATTTTATATTCACAATTAAATTGACTTCATATTTTCTTAAGATTTTACTGTAGAATTATGTGTGTAGAAATTTTTGATGTAGCTGCAGCAAATGTAGTTGTAATAATTAAATACAAAATAACAAAAATGGAAAGATATTCCAGCCATATTTTTTCTCTACAACATATAAAATAGTGTTCTAAAAAACAAGGGTGCTACAATTAAAGCATGATTGATAACTTTTGTGGTTATAGATGAAAATTAAAACTAAAGTTATTAGTTACATTCCAACCAATCACCCCCTTAATATATTTCTGATGAGATTTAGTAATATCATATTTAAAATCATATTTCAATTATGTGTAATATATATTATATACACTAAATAATAAAATATAATTAATATAAATGTCAAATTTCAAAAGGTAATATATGTATATATTCAAAAATTAACTTTTTATCTTAAAATAAAGAATGTAACTAATAAAACTTTTGTAAATTAATATATTTATAATTAATACAATTTTAAATTTATAACATTATTAATTAATAGAAGTTCTACTGAATCAAATTTTTAGATCTTCATAGATTTATTAAAAAATTAGTAACATTTATGGATGAAAAGTGGCGATTGGCGGTGCGATTTGGAGATGCGTTTGTGTGTGACGTTAAAATCAAGAGAGAATCTTCCACGAAAACGGTTGGGAATTTGGATACAGCTGTAAGTGTACACGTGGCATGTGAGAGTACATTGTGGTACTAGAGAGCGTTTCACCGGTGGAGCGTTATGTTCCAATCATTTCGTTTTTTCAGTTTATTATTCTCTCTTTTTTTTCTCAACCGAGTTTATTCTTTTTCTGTGGAGAAATAATGTTTTTTTTTCTTCTTTTTTTGAACATTGCAGAAAAATAATGTTTTCAATTTAAAAGATCCAAATCTCGTTTTTAAAAAAGTTGAACAAATTGTTAATTGCAATTTGTAACTAATTTATAAACGTGTATTTAGTTACATAATAGGAATGTGTATAGTAATTATTATCACACTTTACTGAAACTTTGAAATTTGAATGACTATAAGAAAAAAAGTTTCTTATTAGGTTCGTGTATAAAGCAAACTGTTTTATTACCTATATATGCACCAATGTTTAACTTGTTTTGAAAAAAAAAATGCATTAATGTTTAACTTGTTTTGAAACTTCAATTCTACAACGAAACTACGAACGTAAACTGAATATTAAATAACATAATAGTTGAACAAAAAGTAACCTAATAATTGAAGAGTATTTGCATCCCTTACACACCAATTTTCCTCTAATTCACTAACTACCCTAAATCACCCTTATCTCTCATCCCCTCATCACTACTTTTTTCCCCTATCCTTATGGCAAATCTCTAATTTTCTACTTCTTTTGGTATTTCTACCTAATTTACTCATTTTTCTATTGTGTATAGAATTAACCTTCTAAAATTTCATGTAGGTAGGATAACTTAGAAAAAACAAGCATTCGTGTAAATAAAGGTTTTAAAACAAAAGTAACTTATAATGAGTTTTAGAAATTAAACAATGTTTATAGTGCTAAAGGTGTTAGCAGCTTTGGAGGTAAAAAACAATTGGGCGATAAGGGGGTTAGGTTCCAAACCTATAATATTTTTTGTTGGATTCTTCATAGACTTTCTGACTGAGGAAGCCAGCCTGTATGCAATAATTATTAATCCTTTTTAAAGAAAATCAGTTATTTCGTATATAAAACCAAGTGCAATAAGATGCTGACGTAAAAGAAAACGACAAATGGGTTGTGAATTAGAGAACCCACTGTTATTACTTCTTTTGACAAATGAGAAACGACAGGCTGTATTAAATTAAACATATGCTCTATTACTTTAACGGCCACTTCCCCACCGGCCGGTAACCCCACCCACTCTTTGATTTTTGTCTCTTTCTTAATATTTGAGTTTGAATCCCTCGTTTATATACATGGTGTATAGTTTTAACTTGTTCATATGACTGATATATGATTAGGTTTTATAGTTCGTAACTCGTTCATATGACTGATATATGATTAGGTTTTGAATAGAGGCAGCAGGTACAGAGAAGTTATAGAACTTTTTGTGAAACGAGAAGTTATAGAACAAAACCTTTCTTTTTTGTTTATATTCATAAGTTTAATTAGAGCATCAACATTAGTAGTTTCGCCCAACAATCCTTGATTGAATAGCTCTAAAAAATGTGACAGATTTCCAAACGACTTTTCCATTTCTGGTTGGTAAAAAAATTTATCATTAAATTTTTAGTTACAAAATTAATATTTTAAAATATTTTAATTTTTTTTAATGAATTTATTTACTCTCTTTTTTTATAATAAATGTCATTTTAACATTTTTATTTGTTATATAAAAAGTGTCATTTTAGAATTCCAATATAAAATATACTTTTTCCAGCTAAAAATTAATTTTAAATTGTACGGATTTTATCTCAAATATTATTGATCAATAAATATAATTAAATTTACACACATTTCAATCACTTTTTAGTATGTGTGAAAAATGTCAAAATGACACATACTCCATCCGTTACTGAATAACTGTCACTTTGATACTTTTCACACTTATTAAAAAATTACAGAAATATATGTAAGTTGTTATTAATTATCTCTCACCAACAATATTTGAGATAAATAAAATTATTTATAAAATTAATGAAATTTTTAATTAAATTTTAGCTGAAAATAAATATAATTTACATTGGAATTATAAATTGACAGTTTTTTGTTACAAAAAAATATATTAAAATGACACTTATTATGAAACAGAGAAGGTATAAAGAAACGGAAGAAGTAGAAAGTTTACGAATTATGGTGCTTTTAGTAATTTAATATTTATTTCAAATTTTCTTTTTTAAAACTGTTAAATACTGTATTTATTTTGTAAATTAGACTACACAATTCAAAACATGCATATAATAACATGAAGAAGATAGAACTGAAGATCTCTTGCAAATTACACAAATATACAATTTTAAAAGATAACACATAATGTAATGAATAATGATAAAGATAAATACTGAAGTATATGTCAAATAACATATCCTTGTACAACTTAAAAAAAAAATTTAAACAATAAGAAAAGTTATAATTTTTAACTATAACGTCTCAAATGAAATATATATATCGAAGTATATGTAAAATATCTTTTATAATTTTATATATTTTGAAATAAGCTTATTAGTTTTAAACAAAATGGTATATGTTCTCTTACTCCATATGCTTAATTATATAAGTTGCTTGAATTATATTTTGTTTTGAAATATAAGTAATTTTTACATTTCTTAGGAAACTTTTATATATATTAGGTATAGTGTGATTAATCCAATTATATGCACTTTCTTCATATTAAATTATATACACGTATTTATGATAATAAATAATACTTTTAAGAAAATCTTTTTTCAAAATCTTTTGTGTTTTAGTTAAAAGTACCTATAACGAAATTTGGTAAACCGTACAATAGTCGTGTACCGCACAGAACGAACGCACATGTTCCAATGCCAACGGGTTGCTTCGCGTAAGCTTCCTCCTACTCTTTAAATAATTAAAGTAAGATATATTGTTGACAAAAAAAAAAGAAAGAAGAGAACTGTACTCAAGAGTGAATTTTAGTGAAGCCAATTTGAAGATTTGAGACAAGACAGTGTCATTAATGGAGATACGGTGGGATATTTTCCCTTATTGGTCCATCGTATCTACTACCAAATTCTTCCTTTTCATAATTTTCTACACAAACAACGACTAATTATTTTCCTTAATTCTTATTCCGTAAGTATTTTTATTCCAAATATTAATGCCATTGACCTAGTAACGTGTAAATAGTCTTTGGTCCGTAATGGTAATTGAATATCTTATTTAATAAGTTCGCATTCGCTTCACGTGACGTTCGATCATTGACTCCCGCTCTCTTCTTGATAGCTTACCTATTTTCGGAATAATTTTACAAATGGTGTGTGCATAGGCCTCGCCGTTTTTAACTCAATACGAAGTACTGACTTTAACCCGAATTGGAAAAACCAAAACCGAATTCGAACTGTTTTACAAAAATATTTGAATGGGACTTATGAGCTTACTACTTTGGACTTCAGTTATATCCCGAACCGAACCGAAATCTGAATTAGAATCAGAAGATATCCGAAATTAGTTAAATATGTTAATGTTTTTATATATGTTAAGGTGATTTAGATATGTTAGAGTATTCAAAATATTTTTGTAGTTTGTTTTATTTGTTGTTTTGAATACTTTTTAGTTAATTTAGATTGTTTAACTAATTTTTGGTTAGATTTGTAAATAATTTATATATTTTGAAAAAAGAATAGTCAATTTTTGAGGTTTTAAAAAAATATTTTTGGACGATTTTAGACATTAGTTAGATCTGATTCGAAATGAACCCGGAAGGAACCGAACCGAACCCGGAAGGAACCAAACCGAACCCAGAAGGAACCGAACCGAATCTGATCAAATAATTAGTAAAAACTGAATGGTCTTTATGAACATAACACCGAAAATCCGAAAATCTGAAACTCCGAATCACTCGGACCGATACCGAATGGGCCACCGAACGCCTACACCTGTGTGTGCATATGAAATATTTTAGGCGTGTGGGTGTGTATTCTTTTTGTTCCCCTATTTTAGAAAAAGGCTTACAAGAACGATTTTTTTTTTTTTTGACAAAGGTACAAAAAAAGATTATGGATCGTTAACTCTTGAAATGTTGTGGTAAAAAATGACGACCCATGCATTATTCATAAGAAGATGATACAACTCTAAATCGCTAAATGAGACAATTGTGTAATGGCTATATTATTGATACTGTTATGTTATGTACCTTGATGAGGTATCTTTGTTTTTGTGCCAATAGTTTTTTTTTTAAACGTATGTGATGTAGATGACGCATTACATTATTAGTAGTACATACTTCAAAATATTCTTATTTTCCGATTTTCGTTTTAAAACACAATTACGGATTTTGAGGGAGAATGTACAGTGGCTCAATTCTTAAATCATACTGTATTATGTCATGAGTGAGGATATTATTCCATTTAGCCTGGCGTAAAATTCCATCATATATATATTAAGTTATAAAAAACCCACATCGAGACGTAATATCTACTTTTCTCCAGAGAAAAGCATGTGACAAATCTCTCATGTCCTTGTAACGCTATGTCTCGAAATGGCTTTATTAAACTTTTCAAAAGTTTTTATTCAGGTTCAGTGTATGTGCGATCAGATATTTCCCAATTAATTACATCAGTTAATCCAAATTCACAGATATATGTAACATATTGTCTAGAATATTTCGTTATTAGAAACTTATCAGTTTACTTTAAGAAAAATCTAACAGATATTGATCCAGTTTAACTAAACGAAGATGTATCAAATAAGAATATGTATTATATTTTTACAAAAAAGTATATTATAGTCTTACAGTTTTTTTTTTGGGTCAAATTATAGTTTTACAGTTATATGTTACGGTAAAGAGGAAAGATAAAATTCTGTCATGAGGCATTAACGGGTGGAACGATTCTGGTGTCATGAAGTATAAGGAAAATCACACATTCGCGATCGAGTAGTAATGCGGGTTTGAAATTGTGTTAAGTACGTTGAGTTTAGAAGTTACATCTCAGATATACTCGTTTGTGTAGCCATGCAACATAGATATCAAATTTCCTATGCAAATAACCAAGTCTACCTGACGTTCATAGATAGGCCTCCAAGAAATTAGTTGCTTGGGTCTCAGCCTACCAGATATTTTGGGTTATCAAAAACTATATATAAAAAGTCAAGAATCAGCCCATTCATTTGTTAGTAGGTTATCGTCAACTCGATTATATAGGTGACTAGGGCTTAGTCAGTCCTACGGACAGGTAAATTTACATTAAAATATTTTATATTAAAATTATTTTATATTAAAATATATTTTAATTTTATAGAACAATTGAAATAGTACTTTAAATTGAATAAGTTGAATATGAAAAACTTAACTTTTTTGTTGGTTTGCTTTAAATTGAACATGAAAATTTGACTTTTTGTTGGTTTCAGTTGAAAAACCTATTAACATCTTTTTTAAAAAGAACAATTTTTTTTGAAATTTAAATATATTTTAGTTTTATGGAACAATTAAAATATTACTTTAAACTGAATATGAAATACTTAACTTTTTTGTTGGTTTGCTTTAAATTGAACATGAAAAACTTAATTTTTTATTGGTTTCAGTTGAAAAAACTATTAACGTCTTTTTTTAAAAGAAAACAAGATTTTAAATAAAAGAATTTAAAAATAATAATTTTTTTAAAAAATTAAAAATGTAATGGTTTATATATATTCTTTTGATCAATGCTTGGATGTTGAAATTTTGAACCTCTTAATCCTATTTTGGGAAATACTTGACATGTACACTCCTTAACTGTGTGTTTTTAATAAAGTTAGCAAACTTACTCGACCTGATATTCAGAAATATAGAAGTATAAAACTTCACGAAATTCTCATCACAAATCACTTCTGTTGGACCTCTAAATCCTCCTCCGAAGAAGAAAATAATGCTCTCTCTTGTATATAAAGTATTGTGCAGGGAATACATTCAAATAAAAGATTTATATAGCAAAAATGCAGGAACTTTGCTACAAATCTCACATACAGAGATTTTATATCTGATTTAAAAAGATGATAAGTGTTAGTGATAACACCAGTGGCTCAGATTATGCAAAGCTTGGCTCATAAATCTGGCTTGGATAGGCATATGAGCATCGCCCATCTCATCCTCAAGTGCTCATGTTAAGAAAATAAAATAAAACCTTGAGGAGAGAAATAAAGACCTCAGACCAAACTCGTCAATCCATTATTCATCTCATATGAATCACCTTAATTACACTGTCAGCAACAATAACATCAACCAAACCACTTCGGATTAAAGTGTCCAGAAGACTAAGGGCTTGTTCGCACCAATTAGACTGTGATAGATGGAGATTTTCTATGTTTATACTGATTACCCTGACAAGTGAGGAGTCAAGAGCATGTACAAATTACACAAGTTCATGTAGGCAAACATCATGACCTAGCCAAATGCACTGGTGAGAAGACGCAACGTAATAAAGTACCGACACAAAGAGACTTTTATATGTGTACCTTGACTGATAGAAAGGGTGCTTTAGATCTCTGGCCTCAAGAGGGTAATCCATCCATCTATTAAAAAATACAGCTTTACTTTAATGATTTCTTTGCGTTATAGCATATGTATAATCTAACAAACCAGATGCAACTGATGATGTCGAAGATTGTTACTTTTAATTAGTTCAAATAATTCTTACTTGCTAGTGTTAAAGATCATGCTTTGGTGTTACGGAAGGACCATTGACGTAAGTGCATGTCGAGAGGTAGATTGGGAGAGGATGAAGAAGAACCCGAGAGTCCGAGACTGTGAGCGAAAAGTGAGGCGAGGGATTGAGCAACCATGGAGGAAGAAGGATGAAAAAATCAAATGAGTTTAATTAGTGACTACCATGACCTTAGTCGCCAGTCCCGAAAGCTCTAAATAACTTCTGGTGGAGGTTATTTGCAACCGTATCAAAGTCGCTAGCACATCGTCTCACTGCGTATTTGTGTGCAATTTATTAAGAAACAAAGGATATAAACAAAGTAAACAGACGACAAGCAATAGCATAACAATATGTTGTGAGTAACGTACCAGCCAACTTGGATAGTAAGCACTATACGCTGGATGGATTGATATTCTTCATTAAAGTTGGTCTTGATGCCACAAACATCACCAAAAAGTCTACAATAAACATTGGTTACAAAGGTTGAATACAGATGGAAATAAAATTAAATCAGAATAATGGTAGGAAGTTCTAAAGACATCATAAAGAATAAATACCTGGCATATCGATGTTTGTAGTAGCTAAAGAGATGAGGTGTTCATAATAGAGACTTGTCTCTGCGAGCTAAACATCTCCAATGTATTACTACATTTTTAACTTTAAAATGGTACAGTTCCAAAATAGATTTGGGTTTTACTCTAATATCTTACTCCATTTTCTTACTCTAAAAAATAATACTTCAAGATGATTCCATTTGTATTTAGTAATACCTTCAAACTTACAAAAAATTTCCAATTAACCCCAACTATTTTATATTTCCAAAACCTTCATAAAAATATATTTCCTTTAAATTGAACATTAATTATTAAAAAGTACAGATGATCATAAAAGATAGTATATTTTGGTTTATTAATAAGTATTAGAATTTTTTTCCCACAAATGATTAATCAATGTATTTCGTAATGAATAATGAGCTTCTTTAACTTTCATTGTTCTAAATCAAACAAGAAAATTTTGAAATACAACATTTCCTCAAAATATTGTATTTGATATATTTTTACAGAAATTAGAAAGACCATTTTCTTGAAAAGTAAAATATAAAATAGATTGAAGAGTATGTATCGAAATCTAATATCATAATAAGTTCTATAAATTTACAAATTAAGATCAACTAGCGATGAATGAATTAACTCACATTGTTTATATATCACTATAGATAGTGGCAGATTTAAAATGGAATTTTATGTGACACAAAACTATAAAAACTGGAAATAATTTTAAATTTTAATATCAACATTATCAAAACAGTTTACAAAATTAAACCAACCAAAAAATGTTTTTGGTGGGCAGCTGCCCCATCCAGTCATAATAGCTTTGCCTATAACTAGATATTTTTCAACCTCTAAATTTTTGATCCCTGATGATAAAATACCTAGCCATTATTCTCTTATAATATAAAAATTATTTCTTATAGGATATTATATAAAATAAATTTTAAAATTGTTTTAATATTTAATAATATTTCGTATTTTAATATATTTAAATTTTGTATGATTGACATCTCGAACCGAATATTTGTACATATTTTAATATTTTGAAAACTATTATATTTAAGCTTAGATAGTTAAAATATAAATTCAGAATACCTAGATTCTAAAAGTAACTCATATTCTTAGAGCATCCCAATTAGGGGTTCTAATTATAGGGTTCTCAAAATACACATATATATATATATTAATATTTTATTATAAATTTTTTAACTTTACGAGAAACCCAACACAAAATATCTACGTATACACACGCACAGACACACACACACACACACACACATATATATATATATATATATATTACGAACCCAAGAGCAAGCCATATTAATATTAGTATTAAATTATAGGTATGGGCCGACTGCGAACAAAGGTACTTTCACCAAAGCCTAGAACCCATGGTTAGTTGATAAGAAAAGTGTCTAATAATTGAGGCAGTTTCGTGAAGGTGGTGCATAGCCTCTTGTGAGGTCGTTCGGCCGTTATTCGTCTTTTAAATCATCTCCAGCACCACTCCACATTTTACTACAAAATAGAGTGGGAAATAGAGTAATGAACAAAAAAAAATGATTACTCCAATTATAATAAAGTAATCACTTTTTTTGTTTGTTCATTACTGCATTTCTCACTATTTTTTTGAAGTAAAATATGGAGTTAGATTAGAGATGTTTTAAGTATTTTCAACCATTTTGATTTTATCCTTTCTTTCAAATTTGAATTTATATGTATTTTTCTTATGTTATGTCTGCAAATTTATGTGGTGTATAGTTTATGTTACTTTTTTATTATAAGAAGTTCGAGATCAAAATTCATATATTTTTGAATCGAAGATACAAACCGATTGTTAAAGTTTTTTCCTGTAATTATGAGATTCTAAATACTTCTACATTTATGGTAAAAGAGTAAATACTTTAGTTAAGAAAACACAAGTTAACGTTTATCTATAATCCATCGGTAAACATGCAATTTCTCCACGAGAATTATTATATAGCACTAGTATCTACCGAACTATGATCTCGTGCTATATATATCCTCGAATTGAATATTTCAAACGTATGTCTCCGCGAATTAAAAGTTACTATACTTTTTTTTCTCTGAACTGGTAATTCAAAACTTATTTACACGAAGACTATACTTTTAATTGGTTTACCATTGTACCAAACAAAACAATTTTAGAATTTTTTCCATTCGGAGGCACTTTTTGTCTTTATAATTACAAGTAGAGTCACTTTCCACTTGAGACACACTATTGTCTTGTTCTTTGACCATTTTATCCTCTAACTTAAAATGATAACATGTCTTTCTTTCTCAACTAAATCTAAATACACTACATCTCATCTCTCTCTCAACCGACACAGTTTGATCTTCTTCCTCCTAACAAAGTTCATAGCTTTTATTTAGTTTGTATTTTATTCTGATGATTTTTATTTTTTAATTCCGGCATGATTTTAGCGTCCAAGTAATCACTCTATCCTAAGATAGGGTTCTCCACTCCACTCTTTTGATGGAACCCATCTTCCTCACTTCAATGATCTCCTCTCTCCCTTTCCTTCATCGTCGGACCTCCTAAAATGCACTGTTTAACCCTCTCTAAACCCTTACACCTCTTTGTTCTGGGAGCAAAGTCACCGGTGAGATGTTTGGTCTACGAAGCCGATAAACCAGAGCAGCCGATCGACAAAACAAAGTCTGAGACAGCAAAGAAATTGAAGATCGGGATCTACTTCGCTTTGTGGGCTTTATTTTGTTTCAACATCTACAACAAGGAGGCCTTGAGCGCTTACCTTTATCCATGGCTTACCTCCATTCTCTCTCTCATCGCTGGTTTGTTGATGATGTTGTTCTTTTGGGCTGTTGGCATCGTTGAGACTTCTAAAACTGATTTCAGTTTCTCAAAAAATACCTTTTCCGACAAGTGGATTAGTGAAAAGGTACAAACTTATGGTTAGATACTGATGTAGGTATTGAGGTTTATGTCAATTTGATTCACATCTTGCAGTAATATTTGACTTTTGTAATAAATATCAGAAGGTCCATACAAGAGAGAAGAAGAAAAACAGAGGAGTATCTATGAAAATCAATGGTAGCCCTTGAAGTGTTCTTATGATAACAAAAGAAGATATGGATGGATTCATGTGAACATAAACTTATGTGGACAAGGAAAACAGAGGAGTTTCTACGAAAATCAATGGTTTACTAAAATCATGTGGACATGGATGGATTCATGTGGACAAGGTAAAGCTTTAATTTTACTAAACTATTTTCTCTGTCTATATTATAAAAAAGGCAAGAATCTGATTATGAGCATGGGTTAGACTTTGATAACAATGGTGGTATTTAAACTTATGTTCACTATTATAATTTAGTTTCCGGTAAAAGGACACCATTTACCAAGTATGCTTATTATCATTAGAAGAAAGGCTACAAACTAGTTCTAGTACGTGTGATACCTTCAGGGATGGTGCTATTGATCAGCTGAAACAGAATGCTACCAAGGCTAGGATTCCTTATTATGGAATGTATGGAGGTTTCTTATGGAAATATCAGTCTTATTCATGAGTGCATTACTCTAAGAGGCACATTTTGTCTTTCTCTTTCATTGTAAGGCACTTCCCACTTGGGAGGCACATTCACGGATAACAAGAGAAGTTATGGACTCTTTTACCCTTAATGAGATGAAACTGAATGTTAGATTAGTTAGCGAAGGCTTAGGTTTCAAATGGAGTTTGAATTTAGTTAGCTTTTAGGCATTATTTTTTTTGACCCCATCATATTTTTTGCTTTATTATTTTGTTATTTCATTTGTGAAAGCATATATAACATATAAAATAAAAATATTTTTTTCCTTTTTATTTTGATATCCATATATATACACTTTGACTTTTTATAAAATTTAATTTATTAAATAATAGTTTTGTGGATATAAGAAGTGTGGATGTGAAAACGTGGATAGGAGAAATGGGGATGGTGTACATGTAAATTGTACATAAATTCAAATTAAAGTTGGATTTGAGATTTTCCTTGGAAAATGTAGACATAGAAACATTGATAGGATAAATGTTGATGGTAATTTGTAGACGCTTAATTGTGGAAAATCATGGTTGACAAGTAAATCCATATGGATGCTAATTTGTAGACGGTACAGTCTCACGAAATTATCACAGTTATTTGGTTTATGCAGCCACAGTCTTAAACAAAACATCAAGCCTAAATCAAAAACTTTCATAATTTTTTATTGTTGTACTTTGACTTCACAATCAGAGAGGAAATTCAGTCAATCTGTACACACTCCTACATGTGAGCTACTATTATATTGGAAAAAAAAGTAGCAAAGATCTTAAAACATGCAAGAAGAAAACTGATAATTCGATAAGAAACATTAATACCTTCCATAATAAGGATTCCTAGCCTTGGTAGTATTCTGTTTCAGCTGATCAATAGCACCATCTCTGAAGGTATCCACACGTACTAGAGCTAGTTTGTAGCCTTTCTTCTGATGATAATAAGCATACTCAAATTTTACCAATTCTTAAGCTTAACTATTCATCAAAAAAGTTTCATACTTTAAGAGGATGAATAAACAAACAACCTGCATAATCCTCACCCAATGATCACATAAATCTATGGAACTATTGATGAACTCATTCATCAAATAATTCGTGATGATTTACAAAACCAGTCTTTATAGAACAAAAATACATTAAATAAAAACCTTGAATCTGCATAATCCTCAACCATTGATAAGAGATCCGTTCCAAACTTAACATATTATAAGGATCCAGTTCCTCCACTTAAAGATGAGGGTGGTGGTGCCCCTGAAGGAGACGATGATGGTGAATGGGAAGAGGTACCATCATCTCTCGCTTAGCTTTTTGTCTAGTGAGAAGAAGAGAACAATGGGTCATAGGTCCGGTTTTATTTTTGGGTCAAAACATATTGTTTAATTAAATTTGTATTTCGTTTAACTGGTTAACATTGTTTACTAAATTTTAACCGGTTAAATCATAGTTTATGTATAATTTAATTTTGAATTATTGTTTCAGGGAGAAATAATATTGTAAATTTAATTAGGAGGAAAACATCTCTGCAATATTCATTTCGGGAACATTGGTAAGAGGTCATAATTTGGGATATTTAATGCTAATGATAGTTACTATGGAAATATCATGTTTATCCATAATCCATATATTGTACCAATTTTCCATCGTAAAAAAAAGAAAGAAACAGAGACAGAATTAGGGTTGATGAAAGGAGAGGAAAGAAGAAAATGAACCTAATTCAGAATCAATAAATCACGTGCCTTTTGATGGGTAAGTAGATAGAATGGTTGATGAAAGGAGAGGAAAGAAGAAAATGAACCTAATTCAGAATCAATAAATCACGTGCCTTTTGATGGGTAAGTAGATAGAATGGTTTAGAAAGGATAAAATTGTCAAACCACAATAAGAAAGTATGCCACATGTAAGAAGTGACTCCCAATGTAATTGAGAAGTCAAAAAGTGGTTGTAGGTGTACAAAATTCCTTATTCATTCATGTTTTAAGATCTTTGCTACTTCTTTTCTAATATAATAGTAGTTCATGTGTAGAAGTATGTATAAATTGATTGAATTTCTTCTGTGACTGTGAAGTCAAAGTACAACAATAAAAATTTATAAATTTTTTTGATTTAGGCGTGATGTTTGATTTAAACAACCCAGCTCCATTTATACCTGATCAAAGGCGCTCTCTCTGCCTCATATGCATCCAGCGAACAACTCAGCTCCATTATACCTGATCAAAGATGCTCTCTCTACTTCCTATGCATCGGCAATTGTAAAATCCTTCTTTCTACTAAGACATATGCTCTCTCCGTCTCGTCTCTGCAACCTGTCCTGTCTTCACATTTCGTCATAGCTAGAAACAAAGCTGGAAAAAAATGCGAAGTTGATTTCAGATTGAAATAGATCACAATTCTGTTTCTCTGCACAAAACCATACTCAAATTTTATCAATTCTTAAGCTTAACTATTCATCAAAAAAGTTTCATACTTTAAGAGGATGAATAAACAAACAACCTGCATAATCCTCACCCAATGATCACATAAATCTATGGAACTATTGATGAACTCATTCATCAAATAATTCGCGATGATTTACAAAACCAGTCTTTATAGAACAAAAATACATTAAATAAAAACCTTGAATCTGCATAATCCTCAACCATTGATAAGAGATCCATTCCAAACTTAACATATTATAAGGATCCAATTCCTCCATTTAAAGATGATGGTGGTGGTGCCCCTGAAAGAGACGATGATGGTGAATGAGAAGAGGTACCATCATCTCTCGCTTAGCTTTTGGTCTGGTGAGAAGAAGAGAGCAATGGGTCACAGGTCCGGTTTTATTTTGGGTCAAAACATCTGGTTTAATTAAATTTGTGTTTCGTTTAACTGGTTAACATTGTTTGCTAAATTTTAACCGGTTAAATCATAGTTTATGTATAATTTAATTTTGAATTATCGTTTCAGGGAGAAATAATATTGTAAATTTAATTAGGAGGAAAATATCTCTGCAATATTCATTTCGGGAACATTGGTACGAGGTCATAAGTTGGGATATTTAATGCTAATGATAGTTACTATGGAAATATCATGTTTATCATAATCCATCTATTGTACCTAATTTTCCATCGTAAAAAAAAAAAAAGAAACAGAGACAAAATTAGGGTTGATGAAAGGAGAGGAAAGAAGAAAATGAACCTAATTCAGAATCAATAAATCACGTGTCTTTTGATGGGTAAGTAAATAGAATGGTTTAGAAAGGATAAAATTGTCAAACCACAATAAGAAAGTATGCCACATGTAAGAAGTGACTCCTAATGTAATTGAGAAGTCAAAAAGTAGTTATAGGTGTACAAAATCCCTTATTCATTCATGTTTTAAGATCTTTTCTACTTCTTTTCTAATATAATAGTAGTTCTTGTGTAGAAGTATGTATAAACTGATTGAATTTCTTCTGTGACTGTGAAGTCAAAGTACAACAATAAAAATTTATAAAAGTTTTTGATTTAAGCGTGATGTTTGATTTAAGATTGTGGCTGCATAAACCAAATAACTGTGGTAATTTTGTGAGATTGTGCCGTCCAGAAATTACCATCCACATGAATATACTTATATACATATCAATCATTCTTGTCCACAATTAACCATCCACAAATTACCATCCAAATTTATGCTATCCATGTTTCTATGTCTACTTTTTTCAAGGAAAATCACAAATCTAACTCTAATTTGAATTTTTGTACAATTTACATGTACAAAATTCCTCGTTCACATTTCTCAAGTCAGCAAAACTCTTTTCCATATTTTCTATGTTTCCACTACTCTTATTCGCGTTTTCACATCCACACTTCTTATATCCACAAATCTATTATTTAATAAATTAAATTTTATAAAATGTCAAAGTGTATATATATGGATATCAAAATAAAGAGAATTTTTTTTCACATTTTTAATTTATGTGTTATATACGTTTTTAGAAATGAAATAATAAAATAATAAAGCAAAACATATCATGGGGTCAAAACAAATAATGCCTAAAAAAGCTAACTAAACTCAAATTCCATTTAAAACCTAAGTCTTCACTAACTAATCTATTATTCAATTTCATCGCATTAAGGACAAAAAAGTCCATATATTCTTTTGTTATCTGTGAATGTGCCTCCCAAGTCAGAAGTGCTTTAGAATGAAAGAAAAAGACAAAATGTGCCTCTTAATATAGTGCACTCGTAATATTACCTAAACCATAAAAAACCTAATTTCAATTAAACTAAACCTTTTGATTCGTAAAAAGCAATCTAATCTACTGTTCTCTTCTTCTTCTTCACCCGACAACAACCCTTACTTCTCTCTCACACAGTCTTGTAGGTTACTCCATTGCAATATCCCAACAG